CTCCAGTGCAACTGCATTATAGCTATTGAATATTCATAATTTGAAAATTTAAAAAAAAAAAAAAAAAAAAAAAAAAACGTACAAATGTAATTTCAGATTAGGGCACATCAGGTACTATACTAAAACCTCTTTGACCCCTTTGACAAGTGCATTTTACATACACTGTATTTTGTAATACAGAGAATTTTGCAATGTAAATGAATATTTATTGCTGTGTCATGCTTGTTCAGTGTTGAAATAAAACTGTTGAAAAATTACACTATCATCTTGTGCTATGCTCACTAGTCTACATGAATAACCCAGTGTTTCTGTATTTAATTCAGTGTAGGAGACACATCTTAGAACGGGCTCTTATAACAGGAGACCGTTTGTTTGCTGATAATCCAGTTTAGTTACAGATTGACAGTGCTATATTGTCTGATTGTGTAATTAAGATTTCATTCCTCACATGGTTCCCTCCTCTATCAGTATCTGTTATCTTGGAGTTGCAGTGACATGGTGCAAACTACACCATTATCTAACCTAAAGTGTGCAATCTGAACTATGAAATGAAGGGGAAGATCCAACCCAGTCTCACAGGAAAATGTGAAAAAATGTGGGGGTTTTTTTTGTTTTTTTTTTAAACAAGGTAGCAATTTCATATGAAACTCTACAATGTGGATTGTAGGAGAAAAGTAACTATGAAGGTCCACACCTTACTCCAACCCTAAATATATTTGATTCACATAAAAATATAACTGCTACAATTTTGTATTCATTTTTATTATTTATTAATTAATTAATTAATTTTTTTTACTATGTGAATCAAAAGAAAACATACAATTTAAAAGGCATAATGGAACATAATAGGGGGGAAAAATAACCATAATGGTCTACCCCTAAACAAATCCAACCCGATATCATGAGAAAACTATTTGTAAACTATTTTATGAAGTGACAATTTCGTTTGAATTTGTACGATGTAAATTGTACGGAAAGGTACGAATTTTCAACAAAACGCATGTTGGTCCTTCCCTAACTCTAAACATAACCAAACTGATCTCATGAGAAAACAACTATTTTACGAGGTGACAATTTCGAATTAATTTTGTACAATGTAAATCGAATGAAACCGTAAGATTTTTAGGAAAAAGAAGCACCCCGAAACATAACCAACCCAGTCGCACCGAAAAAAATGTAACTATTTTACAACGTGGCAATATTGTATGAATTTGTGTGAATTGTACGAAGATGTACGATTTAAAAAAAATGTATTAAATTAAATAAATGTTAAAAAAAGCAAGAAGGTCCACCCCCTAACCCAACCCCTAAATATAACCAACCTGATCTCACAAGAAAACTTTACGAGGTGGCAATTTCGTATGTAATCTTATGATCTGAATGGTATAAAAACGTATGTTTAAAAAAACAAATGAACAAAAAACAGTAAACATGAAGGTTCACCCCTAAACATAAACAACTCCGATCTCATGGGAAAGCGTAAATATTTTACCACAGTTATCTCAGATAACTCAATCCAGCCATACTAATCATCAACAACAGCTGCGTTCGAAGAACCGAATTAGCCAGATCCTGATTAGCGCGATGATACCATCTTGAATGTGACATTTCATCTCGGATGTAATAAGCGACGTACGAAGAGCGGGCCCCAGGTGGCAATTTCATGACTTTGTTTGATTTGAATAGTAGAAAACTTACAATTTTTTGAAAAAAAAAAACAGTAGCCATGAAGGTCCTAAACATAAAACAAGAAAATACATTCACATGAATTAGCCACCAGTTCACCAAAGCATAAAATATTTATGAATTGCTTTGAGATTGTGTTGGAAGATCCCTACTGGAGTTGTTCCATGACCTTAACCCCTGTGTGATAAGAGAAACCCCTCCTGGAATAGTGCTGACCAAACAAACATCACGTTCTTGTCTTTACGCTACCAGTGACTGCATATTCAGTCTGGTATATTGACATTTCTGTCTTTAAAATTTGGAGTACTGATCTAAAAGTCCCACTATTCCCCCTTCACTGAAATAGCATGTGCTCCTGGCCATGTGTCAAAACAATTCAATGTGCCACAGTGATGCCTATCGAGGGGAAGAGCACTGCGATTTACTACCATGTCTTGTTGAGGACAATGAGAGCCTCAAACAACCTCTAACAGCCTATAAGTAGAAGGATATTCAAACAGACCTATCACAGGACTGGCCCTTTAAGTGGCAGTGGATGTTATTCTGGAGAGAGGGACAAGGAGAGTGTGTTTGTGCTCTGAGCAGACTTCTGTAAGCCAGTCATACAGACCCTGAGGGCAGATCTGTGGCAATCTGACCTGGTTTAGATGTAATATTTACTCATCTGACCAAAAGGTTTATTAACCTTGGCAGTGGGGTGTCTTTCAAGGTTGTCTGGAGTCACATGTCTACCCTGCTGAAGACAGCTGCTGCCTTGACACTCATATGCTTTCAGCTCATTTAGGAGAGTTAAGAGGAGACCTCACTACTCATTTCTCTCAAACTGCAACAGGAATAAGTAGCACATTTATCTGAACATTATTTCAGAGATGGATCCAGTGAGCTCAGGTCCTGGTAGCATTGTTGCCAAGTCTGCGGTTTTCCCGCAGAATTGGGCTACTGTAACACTGTTGAAGCGACCCCAATAACGTGACATTTAGCCTCTGGAATGCGAATTTTAC